TTTGCATTTTTTTAATTTTAATTGAACAAAAGCACAAAAAAAGAATCATCCTTCATTACATCATGTAGAAAGTGTGTTGATTGGTTACAGATAACTTTTGTGCATTTCTTCCACAGTCATTACTTATAGTTCATATTAGATTATACACTTTAAATCAAAAATCTTTGTATATCTTACTATCAATGTACCACAATTCTCATTTGACTACAATTATTTGAACATGCTTTTACCTCAAATCATTCATACTTAAAGACACAACCACATAATGACATTCATTAGCTATTTCAAAAAATCCTCCAATAACATTACACCTTTATAACATCTTTTAAATAAAAGTCAATTAATAAAGTTTCTAAACCTAATCACCAAAATCAACCAAACCCGCCCAGGGTTTAACTAGGTGTCCAAGAATCCTTGTCATGGTTAGAATTCTCTAGGGCGTCCTGCAGCGGATAAGACCTTTATTTTTAAACTGACCTCAATGAGGCAAAGGAGGCATGGTTAAAGAAAAATCTACTCAGTCCTAGGGCAGATAGACTGTATTTAACCCATGCTTGGACTCTCCCTCAGTGCCCAGAGAATGACCATTCAGGTAAGCCAATGGTCATTCTACACAAAAATATTACTACCTGTCACTATTTGTAGAAGGAGGGAAAAAGTCAGAAAGATTAGCAATCTCTGCTCAAAGGAGGCCCATATATGTCAGCTTATAATCAAAATACTTAGTTACCATTCTGAACATTTACTAATGGAAGATCCAATGCAAATGCATGGACAAGGTCTAATTCTGAAATGGATAAATTGGGCTAGGGTTCATTTTTAGCAGTAAGAATTGGGGAAAAGAAGAAGATTAATTGTGTTCCTATTTCTTCCATAAATAGAAGTATTATCTTTTTCTCTGCTTAAAATAAAAAAAAAACATTTTTCCATTCCTAGTATTTTAAAAAAATATCTCTGCTACCAGTAGCAATAGGCTGGCAATGTAGTTGCAGAGTACTATATATTGGCAAATAACATGAGGTAGAGTCGATTAAGTTTGGTTAGTATTGTCATTATAGTCCATTTTCCATGCTTTCTCTCTGGAGTAGTACAGTGTAGAACATTGTTTCAAGAATTCTTTCCCTGTGTTGCCTTCTGCTTCAGCTGTTTGCTTGTTTTTAAATAAAACAATTATATATCAGCATATTTTCAGCTAACATTGTATGGCTTTGCAAAAATGCAAAGAATATGTCTTGGCCACAAGGGAAGAAAAGTCTATATTGTATGTTAGGACACGTTTCTTCATTAGGCCTGGTTATAAATCACCAAACTGTGTCAAAAAAATCTTAATTTTCAGCATCAGCTTAAAAAAAAAGAATGTCTTGCCTAAGGTTCTAATGATAGTAGATTGCTTTCTTGTTTGTTTGCAGAACTCCTAGATCTTAGAGTCAAAATTAAGTGGCATAAAAGCACAACAAATTAATTAAAAGAATGATTGATCATCCACTTTGGAATATGTTGTCTTTGCCACTGCCAGAAAATCTGAATTTTCTCTGAAGTACTGCAGTTTGTAATTGCCATTTCTCCCTCCCAGGGCCTGTTCTTCTTGATGAATTTGTGGAATGGCAAAAGGATCGCCAAGCATCATAGCAAGAGCAGCGGTGAAGAGAATGCTGGATCTTGCGATGCCCAAAATCTACAAACACTGATTCAAAACCAAGGATTGCGTTCACATCCTTATGAACTTTAGTCATTTTTTTTTCCTTTTATTTTTAAAGGAAGCCTTGTTACACATGAAAAGGGCATTGAACCACACACTTCTGAGACTGAAAATTGGAGGTTTTTGTCTTAAGTTTCTATCATTTCAGAACAATAAAGATTCAGATTTGTAACAGTCTTAAAACGTGAAGGATATGACTATGGATCCTATACTCAAAACCAAAAAAAAAATGTTGAATGCATCAGAAATGTCCAATATGAGTGACTGAATTCCAGATGTTTGTTACAATTGTAGTATGGTAGAATAAGAATTTGGTAGATTGGTTCTTGTGGAATGAATGCCTTTAGAAAGGGTGATTAACCTTAAGCCTTGGCTGGTGCTTTGCAAACACCTCTATCACTTGTGCCATAACTGAACAGCTTTGTGGAGATAAAGCCTTTATTAATTTATCAGCAAATCCTACTACTTTTTTCTTTTGGTTTCTAGTAGAACATTCATGGTGGCCTGTTTTTGTTTTCCTTAGAAGCACTAGGAAGATGCCTTCGACAAAACAATTGTAAAACTTGAAACATCATTTGTGTTTAATTATTATATATAGGACTACATCTTAATAGGAAAATTAAACTAGATCTTCTGATGTGCATTACGCTGAGAATAAACTATTACGATTCTCCTCCCATCTCCAAATATGGAGAATATGTTTTTATTGTCCTATTTTCAGGTATACACATTCTAAAATTAGGAAGAGTTGCACTACTTTACATGATATATAGCCAGCTATCAGCAACTGATTAACACCCAAGGACTACTCAGATGAATAAGTTTAGATAAATATAAATGTTTACAAAACTTTAAACTTCGTTTTGTGAAACAAATTATATGTAGGAGAACCGCTAATAGGTAATTGGATGAATAGTCAGGAAAAACGTAGACCACCTTCTATAGCAGAATTGTGAGATCACCTGTGTGATATGATATAGTCCTCCTAGCTTAACATACCAGGTAAAAACATGGTAGTATCTCAGGATAATGAAAATGCATTGTGCACAGTATAATCAGATTCAGGTAGAACAAGATATAATCTCTTGTCTATATGGTGCATTCTAAGTATTTTCATTTTTTTAAAAAAAATATTATTGGTCACTAACAGCCCTTAAGAATCTTTCTGGTGCTGGGAGATGTTAGACAGCAGTTGGAATTGTGTGTTAGCTGCAGAATTTCCATGAGCTGTCCAAGGGATGATATAACATCAATGAGTTGGCTGTTTTTTGGCTGTCTGCAAAAGAAAAAGGCAGTTTGAAGTTGCAGGAGGAAGTACATCAAATACCTCAGACGTGCTGATCTGACTCAGTTGCTTTTCTTGATAAGTATCCCACGATACTTCAGAAATGTTTCCCATAGCCCTATATGAACATATCTGATCTGTCCAGGGGCTTTTTGGTGGATGTGCTGAAATCCACTTCTGATTGATGCCAAACTTTTTTTAAGAAGTCATACTGTAGACTTAGACATAGCTGTTATGGGAGTCAGATAAATTGAAGTAGATGATGCTTCCAGCTTCTTTATTTTTCCAGGGTGCAGCATTTCTAAGCCAAGGACATAACTGGCCAACACAAAGTATTTCATGATTTCTAAGGGTTAGACATGTTACAGGTGGACAGCAAAAAATAAATTCAATGGTCAGATGAGCATTGCAGAGACGAAGATGGTTTTCAAATGCCTTAATAAGGCAGGTGAAGAGATTGATTGCCTGATGTATTTAATATTCACAACCTGAATACTTGATATAAGCCTTACTGTCGAACAACTAATGGTTAGGATGAGTTATGTTGAACCAATCTTTTCAAAATGGACAAATATCTTGGGGGTGGGTTGCAGCCAGGTTTGGCGCTGATATTGTTGTTTCCCCAAGTGAAATAGTGCTTGTTTTCATTCTCTGATGTAGATGGGGAATAAAAATTCAATCTAGAGATGTGCATTTGTGAGTGAATCATGTATTTATTACTACTACTACTCCCTTTCTGCCATAAAGAGGTATCAGTAGATCCCTACCCTAATTTGGGCATAGCCAGGCTGGTATACATTGAACCAATGTCAGAAAAATATGCAAAGGAATGAAGATTTGCTCCTGGCATCTAGTTTCATAAGCTCTGCTTTATAAAATCTTGAGTTTTCAAGTTGAAAAATGCAAATTGGGAAGATACAAATAATATAAAGAGAACATCTTTTGAAAATCCAAATTGCAAGCTCTGTAGGAACAAGGTAATCAATAAAGTGTAATCAATCCATTTTTATCAGCTGTTTCTTAACAATGATATCAGATTGCTATGAATTGCTTCTCAGGTTTTATCACTTATAATTAAAAAAAAGTTTAGGGTTTTAGGACAACAGTTTAGTGATTGGTTTTTAAAGTTGTGGAGTGCTAATTAAAAATGCAATGAATGCTTTTTACTTTATAATTCATTTTTACAAGAAAATGGAAACTGGTAAATGGAAGCCCGTTAAGAAAATATATTCCCTTCTTCTCTTTCAAAATCAGCTGATGAAATTGCTTGAAACTTAAGAAATTTCTACCATCTGTTTCTTTGAGAAATACCTGTCTCCTGTTGCAGTCTCATCTCTGAAATATTTTAAGATGCTCTGGTCAAATTTTGTATTAAGTTAATAAAACTGATGTTTTGAGTATCTGTTAAAAATAAGCTGCTGGAACAATGTAGCACAGTAATACACAGGGCAAAGTAGAAATAAAATTATGAAAGTAAAGGTTAAAATTTAATGGAAATAAAGGTATAAATGTGAAAATCAGGCAATGCAATGTATAATTTTTAAAACTAACACACATCCAGGGTCATTGCAGATACATAAGTAATGTCGGAATAAAGACAAATTTAGTAGGTGGAATATAAAATGAAAAGCAGATAACAGATGGACAATGTTAGAAGTTATGTGCAGTAGTCCAGGTATAAATAAATACCAACTAAAATATTACTAAATAATAGGCAAAGATCAATTTAATAGGCATGAGAGGAAAGAGGTAGCAACTTTGTCACAGGAAAAAATATAACCAAATGGCGGAAGTTAGGGACTTATATCCAGAAAACATTTTTTTTAAATTTAAATGCCAGACATAAAGAATAAATTCCAGATTCAATTATGTATATGTATGACGTTCAACCACAATTGGGACCAGAATTTCTCTTGTTAAACAAAGCAGTTAAGTGAGTTTTACCTGATTTCATGCCCTCCTTTTCTAAAGTTATTAAGCAAATTGTTGCAGTTAAATAAATCACATGGTTGTTAAGTAAACATAAACTTTCAGTTTTATCTCTTACTAAATAGTCCTTATGGAAGGACCCCATTTTTTGGAATAGTTCAAAGAATCCTGGGCAAAGGGCCAAATATTTTAGTCACTTTCTCGTGGAATACTGGTGAGTTACACAAATCCTTCTTGATACACAAAGGGGTGTATGTGCGCGAATCCTGAACCTCTGCAAATGGTTAAGACAGACATGTCTTTTCCTAGGTTCACAAGACTGCTTTCAGTGCCTGGAAACACTGGTTTACCATTTGAAAAAGAGATGCTTTGTATGTGCTCCTATGCATTCAGAAACACCTTTTTCAAAAGATCTGCACAGCTGAATGATTAAAAATGCTAATGGGGAAATATGATTATAAGACATGGCAGGTTGTTACCACTAGAGGGCACCCAGTACCTTGTAAATTAAAACAAAATTTGTAAAGTAAAATAATATGCTAAAATAGATTGTACATTTTCAGAACAAATGTTCTTTTCCCTATATCATATATTAATCTAATAAGAATCCATCACACATAAATCTCAGATCTATCCAGCTACTAATAATACTATAGAATGCCTAATATATTCTAGATTTCTCATCATCAAAATAGCTATGATCCCAGTTAGGATATTTCTTGTGGATTTAAGTCAGTCCTATCTCCCTACTCCTTAAAGCAGTGTACCTGTGATTTGTAAGAAATGTACACAAAAAGTATTTGGGTTGAGAAGTTTCTAGCATTTTCCTGAATTAAGCCAGAAAAATCTTCCTCCTCCCGATTATTATTAGCAATTACAGTAAGTAGCTGTTTTGATGGTTTTCTCATTCAAGGCATAGTTTGGGCCTCAGGCTAAAACAAAAAAGCCCCAAAACTCTCATATTGAGATTCTGGCACAGTGGTTAGAGTGCAGTACTGTAGGCTGCTTCTGCTGACTGCCGGCTACCTTTAATTTGGCAGTTCAAATCTCCCCATGCTCAAGGTTGACTCAGCCTTTCATCCTTCCAAGGTGGGTAAAATGAGGACCCAAATTGTTGGGGCCAATAGGCTGACTCTGTAAACCACTTAGACAGACCTGTAATAAACACTGTAAAGTGCTATATAAGTCTATTGCTATATTCTCAGATGGGTCAGATCAGATTGCCTTACAAGTACCCCAGGCTAAATATTTCCCATGTTGTACTCCTCAACAAGAGCAGAGAATCAATATCCTCCTAGTTTCAGAATCTACTTGCTGTTGGTTGCAAGGTTCACTATGACCAGTTAGACCCTATTTATTGTAATTGGGCAAATCTTAAACCTCTGTGATCGGCAATTAGCTTGTTCCGTATCATTGTGCCAAAAAATAACCCCACCATCACCTTGCTCAGATCTTAGATGGATCTGAGATTTACATATGTGTGACAGATTTAATTCAATTCATATATGGCATAGGGAAAAAACCCAAGATTCCCCAGTCATTTTCTGAATGGCCCCACTTTTTCAAACCTGGTGGGAAATGTTCTATTTTTTATTTTATTTTTTTAATAACAATGACTAACTGATCACAGATGCTTTAACATTCTGTTCCTAAGAGCTTTGAACTTTCTTCAATGCTACATAGTATCACACTTCTCCGTTAGTGAAATTCAGTTTTTTTTTTTTACTACTGGTTCTGTGGGCGTGGCTTGGTGAGCGTGGCAGGGAAAGGATTCTGCAAAATCTCCATTCCCACCCCACTCTGTGGCCCACCACAGCTGGTATTTGCCGGTTCTCCAGCAAAAATTTCTCCCACTGGTTCTCTAGAACCTGTCAGAACCTGCTGAATTTCACTCCTGCACTTTTCCCCGTGTAGGTACCAAAAAGGAACATTTGCAATTGTTATTGGATTTAACTCCAAACAACGGGGGGGCGGGGGACAGAAATGCTAAAATGTGTATTAATTTAGTTACTGCTTCGATACATTCCCATTTTGAAAGCATTTAGGTTACAGGATCATTGCAAATCGTTTTCTTTTTCCTTGGTTTGGTAAAAAAGCAAAAACAAAACACCCAAGAAGAAAAGCAAGCAGTTTTAAAAAAAAAATCTTAAAGCTAAAGCTCATAAGATGAATCACCATGTTTCCACTTTTCTCATTATTCACAAACTCAAAGCATAATAGAATTTTAATATCTCCAGTAGAGATATTTGCTAACCAGCTTATACATGTCTACTTATAATCACTTGGCAATGGTAGGTCGGGTTAGGACAGATACTGGCTATAGTGCTTCAAAATCGAGTGGGGAGGGAAGGATCCAGAATTTTTTTGACTTTGGGGAAGGAAGCTTTGCATCTCTTCTAACCAAGAGATCGGTGGGATGGTAATTGAGTGTTAGGTCATACTGAGGCAAGAGTCAAGATCCAAGA